TCCATGAAAGGGAAGTTATGGTTCTCACCTCTCAAAAAGAACATAAAATTTCCACATTCATTCTTCTCTCCCTCCACTTTCCTGGCTTTGTTAAATTTAATTAGCCAGGGGCTGATTTATTAATCCTCAAAGCAGAACAACTTCTATTTGTCATTTTATAATTGACATAATTTCTTTATCTTTATAAGCCTTTGGAGGAGATAATAGCCATTAAGTGATGTTATTCCCAGATGCCTTCACCATGAAAACTGAAACAGCAGCGATCCATATCAGGAACATAAATACTTACCCACTTGTTCATTTACATTTCTGTTTAACTGTGTGTGGTTTTTGTTTTTTTAAAAAAATGAGTCAAGTTATTCTTTAAACTCTTTTAAATACAAACTGGACTAGATTTTTCAGAAAATGGCTCTCTCTCTCTCTGATGCCACCTCTTGGGATCAGCTGACTGCCCCTGACAAAATGCTTGATGAAGAATGTTGCATTGAACCCATGATCGTAGATGACCCTCACTCTGTCAAGGACCTTGGAGTACTCATCTCAAATGATCTAAGACCCAGAGCTCACTGTAACAGCATTGCCAAAAAGGCATTAAGAGTTGTTAACCTAATTTTGTGAAGCTTCTTCTCCGGTAATACTGTACTGCAAACTAGGGTGTACAAAACCTTTGCCAGACCAATTCTCGAATACTGCTTGTCTGCCTGGAATCCACACTATATATCGGACATTAATACAATTGAATGGGTCCAGAGGTATTTCATGAGAAGAATACTCCACTCTTCTGCTCACAGTACAATACCTTATGCCATCAGGCTTGAAATTTTGGGCTTGGACAACCTTGAATTACACTGCCTATGGTCTGACCTAAGTATAGTACACAAAATTATCTGCTACAATGTCCTACCTGTCAACGACTACTTCAGCTTCAACCTCAACAATTCACGGGCAAACAATAGATACAAACTCAAGGTAAACTGCTCCAAACTCAATTGCAGAAAATACGACTTCAGCAACAGAGTGGTCAATGCCTGGAATCCACTACCTGACTCCGTTGTTACATCCTCAAACCCCCATAGCTTCAACTTTAAACTGTCTACTGTGGACTTCACCCCGTTCCTAAGAGGTCTGTAAGGGGGCGTGCATAAGCGCACCAGCAGTCCTACCGTCCCTGTCGTACTGTCCCCATTTATTTGTACTCATTTCCTGTGTTCATGTCTATATTTATACTTAACCTGTTATCTCGTACATGTTTGACAAACTAACTAACTAAATAATAAATAAATAAATCCATGTTGCAACCTATTAGCTGCTTTGAAGAGAAAATACTTTGAAGCTGCTTTTCAGATGGGTTGAGAAAAAGTTGCAAATAGAGTTAGGGGACATGGCATAAAAAAGATGTTGCCAAAGGATATCCATTCTGTGGTTAGATGAAAAGATGGGAAGGCTCTCCATCTCAGTTCACAGATAATTCAACAGGTTCAATGGTGGGCAAGGTTGAAAGTTGGCATATATTATTTATCAAGGTTAGACAGCCTCTGTGTGTTTTGGCAGTCACAAACAACATAAGATGCCTTTCCCAGTCTAACCAGAATTGATCCCTTACATTTTTCAACTTAAGATTCTTTTACAAATATCTTTTTAACAACCAATTTGATCCAATGATTAAAGACACCAGGGTAAAAACTGAGAGACCCTAAATTCTAGTCCCACCTTAGGCACTGAGCCGGCTGGGTGACCTTGGGCCAGATACTCTCTTTTAGCCCTAGGAAGGACGCGTTGGCAAACCAATTCTGAAAATACTACCAAGAAAACTGTAGGGACTTATCCAGGTAGTCACCAGGAGTCAACACTGGCTCAAAGGCACCAAAACAAAACAATTTAACCAAAAAAACAGTTTATGTATTAAGGGTTTGGTAATACATAAACTATAGGGATGCGGTGGCTCAGTGGCTAAGACGCTGAGCTTGTCGATCGAAAGGTCGGCAGTTCAGTGGTTCAAATCCCTAGTGCCGCTTAATGGGGTGAGTTCCCGTTACTTGTCCCAGCTTCTGCCAACCTAGCAGTTCGAAAGCACGTAAAAAATGCAAGTAGAAAAAATAGGGAGCTCTTTGGCTTTGAAACGGAGATGAGCACTGCCCCCTAGAGTCAGAAACAACTAGCACATATGTGCGAGGGGAACCTTTACCTTTATCTTAATACATAAACTGCCAGTGACAACAAAAGATGAATGAATGAGGAGGTAGGACAAGTTCACCTGCAAATGTGAAATATATATATTTATATATATTTAAGTCTTTTTATAAAATATATAAAATATATAAAATATATATTTTACCCTTAAGTCTTGCAGCAGACAGCATAATGCTGCTTAAATGTCTGATAAAGCCTAGAAAATAGTGATTTGGGATGTCACTTAACTATGGCTATACAAACATCTTGATTTACGTAGGAAAACCCTGGCTAGAACAGTAATTAAAGCACTTCTGGCCCTTATTGAAACAGAGGAAGTTGAAGAGGAGTGGGGGAGAGATTTTTATTTCCTCAGACTGATTTTCATTTCAAATATTCTCATCCACTGCAAGATATGAAAAGTGAAATATTGGATAAGGCTAGTGGTAGAATGCTGCCGGTTTAACAACTGGTTCGGTGAGCACACTTCGCGAGCGCCTAAGGCGCTTGCACACAGCACTGAAAATGGAGCATTTAGAAGCTCAGCTGCTTACCTTCCAGGTCAGCAATGGTAAGTTGAACAGTGAGGGGGTGAATTAGCTGTGCTGCATGATTGAGATGAGCTACAACACAGGAAATAAAGGACAGGATAGAGCGGGAGTGGGTGGGCAAGGCCAATTGATAGTCGGCACTACTGGTTCGCCGAATTGGTCTGAACCGGCTGAATTCCACCTCTGGAAAATGCTGAACTGAGGCGATTTGGAACTGGAAACTGAGATCTCCTACCCACCTATCACCCATCCCTTCACATTCTGTGCAAGGGTCATGGCATCAGAGATTTTAAGATCTCTCTTTCTCTGCCATATCAGAGGAGATCCAGTCGATCCTTGAAGGTCTGAAATGCCTTCTCAAGACACACGCTACAGGTAGTCCTTGACTTACAACAGTTCTCTTAGTGACCATTTGAAGTTACAGTGAAAGTGAAAAAAAGTGATTTATGATCATTTTTCACACTTATGACCATGGCACAGGGGTGGGTTCTACTTACCTTTACTACCGGTTCGCAACAGGGCCACAATTGCACACTTCTCTGCATGCACAGAAGCATTCTGATGATGTCGGGGTCGGTGGGCGGAGCCTCCCGCCAGTTTTACTACCGGTTCTATAGAACCAGTGCGAACTGGGGGCAACCTACCACTGCCATGGCAGCATCCCAATGGTCACCTGATTTATATTCAGATGCTTGACAACTGACTCATATTTGAGGGTTGCAGAGTCCTGGGGTCATGTGATCACCTTTTCTGACCTTCTGACAGGTAAAGTCAATGGGGAAGCCAGATTCATTTAACAACCGTGTTGCTAATTTAACAACCACAGGGATTAACAACTGTGGCAAGAAAAATGATAAAATAGGGCAAAGCTTACTTAACAAATTTCTCACTTAACAACATAAATTTTGGGCTCAATTGTGGTCATAAGTTGAGGACTACCTGTATTTCACTTTAAATAACTTGCTATTTTTTTTTAAAAAAAAAGCAAAACCAGTTCAGTTTCACAGGTAATAATAATTAATCTCACACTCATCTCTTATGTAAACATTAGCATAAATTGGAACATCTGTTTGAAATCTTTATTCACACTCCAAAAACGGAAGGTTATTTTCATGAACCATAATGAATTATTTCTGTGCCTTGATGAACTACACATCGTTTGTTAGTTTGTTTGTTTGCTTGTTTGTTTTGAAAAATAAAACATCACGAGTTTTTGGCGGTAAAAGGTGTTTGACACACTGAAGAAACATGCAAATAAAATAATAAAAATAAAAATTCTGAATTCTGAATCATTTTACAGTTTCTCTCGGTAAAAAGACGCCTTGTGGAAAAACAGTTAAACAGAGTCAAATGCCTGAAGAGACACTGAGCAGGAAATGTCTCGTAAGTCAAACAACAAATTAAAGAACAAGATCTTGGTAAAAACAGACATAGGTTTATGGAATTAATGGAATCAAAATGGGATTGGAACAGGGGTGGGTTCTACTTACCTTTACTACTGGTTCGCAGGGACCTTCCATGCGGCGCAGATCACCCATGATAATGTCATGATGGGTAGGTGGAGCCTCCCACCAGTTTTACTACCGGTTCTATAGAACCGAGAGCAACCCACCACTGGATTGGATTTTTAAGTTATACCTACTTGAATTGAATGACTTCTATTCCTTAAATGGGTACAGAATGTGAATTTTAGAGCGAGACTTGTGTGTGTGTGAATTGTATTGTGTTGATCTCTTTTCAGCTCTTCCACAGTGAAATGAAAATCTTCATGGACCTGAATTCTTGCAATGTCCTTACGTGATAGACAGTCTAGCAGTGTTTTTACCAACTGAAGGATAATTTTCTTAATAATAAAAGAAGAAATTATATTATATAATTATATCCCTATGCACAATGTTAGATCAAAGCATTATAAACTCCAATTTATATTGCGGTTCATAATCAGGATATAAATTGCTGCAAAATTTTACATCAGAATTCAATCTTTTCCCCTTTGTATCGAGCCCTGACAATAATTGTATGCTCCACCCCATTGTAAGTATTACAGTGTAATAAGGAAGCCAATTTAATGTAACCTGACAACATAATATTTTCTCAGAAAAAGCACAGGGATTACTTCCAAAAAAGCATGAATGGAACACTACATCACAGTTGCTTAGATTGGACTTTCAGCTGCATTCTTTGAATTGTGCTTCTGCACCTATTTTCCTGAAAGTAGATTTATGTTGTCTTGATGTTGTTATATAATTCTTCTTCTAATTGTGTTTTTGTACCCTGCAGAAATAGATGAGAAGAGAATGAACAACAACTCCCAAGATGAAGTAAGTTAATTGCAATTTAAAAAATAAATAACTCTTGCATTGTCTGACAAACATTCAGAAATGTCTTAATTCTTTCCTTCTTGTACCGCAGCAGAGATATTAATTCTTAAATTGTCTGTTGGGATATACAGGGGGGTAGAAGACACAGTCAGCTCAATGACATATATTAAATCACTTATTTATTATTAATGAATGTCATTTATTAAATAAAGTCAGTACAATATTTTCTTAATAGCGTTGCCCTCTAAAGTCTTTGCATGACTGGTTTGGCTTTGACTTAATTTGATCAATTTATTAAAGGCTGGAGAGAATGCCAGAAAAATCTGCTCCATCTTTGTTTCTACAGACTGGTAATAGATATTTGAACTGAGATCAGAGGCTCATGAATAGGCTCATTCTGACACCTTTCCTGGGGGTTACCACATTTGAGATGCAAAAATTTAGACAGCCACTAGATGGCAGCAAAGATTTGGACTTTTCTGTATCTCTTTGTTGGCACCTAATGGTTATCTGGGACCATGACTTCAAAATGAATTTGAAATTATGAAAATTTTTCAGGGGGGAAACTTCTCAAATCAGTTAGATATGAAAAATATTTTCTAATCCCTGAAAGGCTGTATCCTTCCAATAATTACTAAAAAGAATTCATTCTCATCGTCATCATTTTAGCCATTGTCGATCCACTACAGGATGAAGGCCTCTTCCGCATGTTTCCAACCCATACAGTCCTGAGCTTTCTTCTGTGAATTAGGCCCGCAATATAAATAAAAATAAAAAGATTCAGTACACATGATATATATTTGCTGAAAATTAAATCATAAATTATTATTGGTATTATTCTGTAAAAAGACGGAGGTGGCAAAAAAGTTGCCATGGCCTGTTCAATTTTCTAGCCATCTTGCTCTTTCCAGCTTATTTCATTCGATTCCTCTATTTTCTCCCTCCTCCATCATCGGTACTATATGTACAATCCTCACTGGACAAGTTTGGATGGCATCCATCCTTGTTTAATGTCCTTCTTAAATAACAAATCTTCCACCAAGTTGATTAACATCTTCCTTTTGTGTATCATTAATGCTGTTTTAATTATGCAAGGATTCATGCAAATTGAAAATTGAAAAAAATTACAGAAAATAAATAGAGGAAAGAAAAATAATTATCCAGACAATATGATGTCAATCCTGAAATGAGTTTTTCCCATCTTTCCGTCCTCTATACAGTATACAATTTAATTTTTTTACTGAAAATTGAAATAGGCCAGTGTTACTTTTAATAGCAAGAAACTTTATCGATTTTTTTTTTCAAATTTAGGTACAAACATTTAAAAGCATTAAATGATGACAATCAACATCCCATCACACAATGAATATGGTTAGCACTCTCTGACTGCATCCAATAATTTATTCATACAAAGAATCTTTCCATCCATTAACATAAAATATTATGAGCCATTTTACATTTCACAGAGCAACTTATAGAGCTGCTGAACCTTCCTTGATTCGAAGGGATATGCTTAAAATACATACAACAACCCCTACACAACTCTTTGGACTTGGGATATGGTGTTTTAGGTTGAGATTCTTTAAAGAAGTAATATGCGAATTGATTATTTCACATTGCCGAAATGCCATTAGTTGAACCCAGCAGTATTTCTTTATTTGTTTGTTTATTATTATAGTTTTGGCTGCTTAGTTGAACAATTCCAGGCAGCTATAAAATCTGATGCTAACTTCCAGATTTTGGGAACAAAGTCAAAAAAGGAGCAATACAACCAGTTGGTAGACACCATTGGAGGAGGGCCCTATTACTACATGGTGGCATCTGATGAAATGTGAATTGTAGCTCATGAAAGCTGATGCCTTTTAATAAAATTAAATGAGGACCCAGTTTGTGGGGGCAATAAGCTGACTTTGTATAAATATACAAAAGTATGAAGGCTATTGCTTAATGCATTGTAAGCCGCCCTGAGTCTCCGGAGAAGGGCGGCATATAAATCAAATTTAAAAAATAAATAAATTATTAGTTGGAAAAGATGCCACCAGTTTCCATCTAATTTTTTTTCAATCTGATTGTGTACCCCCCCACAAAAGAGGGAGAGGATTAAAGAACCTGGCCTTCCCCTAAAATATTTATATCATTTTTTTGAAATTTCTCAAAGACAAAGAATGGATTATGTTGCTTCAAATATTGCAGAAAATATTGCAGTGTAACTACTGCAGCAGACCAGATCAAGAAGATGCTTCAAAGCCAAAACAAAGAGGCCTCCTCAGTGTAATGATATAGGAGAAAGGCCTTCAGAGAAGAGGCAAAAGAAATGCAGAAGAATGGTAAGAGAGCATAGCCCACTGCTGCATAATGGGTGGAATGCATAATGGCTGCATAAGGAGGTGGCAGAACATTTGCAAGCTTTCAGACTTTCAAGATTTGGTTAATATAGTCTTACAATAAAGCAGAATTAGATCATTTGGAGATGTTTCCTCTTACGATCTGCCTGGGAAGGCTAACAAGTCTGAAAATGCCATCTCCTTCACAGGCTGAGAAGCTAGGGAAGGTCCCTCATGAGCTTCTTTTTCCACCCATTATAAAGTTTTGGGTTGTGTTCTCTTTTATCCAAGGGTGGGCTTCAAAATTCTTAGCAAAGGGTTCTCTGCCTAGTTGCTGGGTGGGCATGGCCATGGTGGGCATGGCCTAGACGGTCTCCTGCACCATGGCGCCCGTGGAGGGCGTTTTTGCCCTCCCCGGGCTCCAGAGGCCTTTCTGGAGCCTCTGGGAAGGTATAAATGGCTTCCCCAGGCTCCGGAAGCCCTCTGGAGGCCAGAAATGGGCCCGTTTCTGACCTTCCCAATATTCCAGGAGGCCTGTTTTCAGCTTCACCAAGCCTCCGCGCGCACCCTGCACTTACCTGCATCCAAAATGGGCCGTGTGGGGAGGGGTGGGTGGGGCCAGCCAGGAGTGGGATTTGGGGATTCTCCGAACTGCACAGAATCTTAGCTAGAGGTTCTTCCGAACCCCTGCGAACCCCCAGCAGCCCACCCCTGCTTTTATCTGATCATTCCTCATGCAGCAATTATTTGATCTACCTCTCAAGGTCTTTCTCTTATACTATTATGCTCAGTATGGACCTGCGTTGAGAAAAGAGCCTATAGAAGCTCCCTCCCTGTAGTCTAGCATGTGATGCCTTCTTCAGCCCTTGATTGCACTAAAAGGTCATTCTTTTTATTGACAGTCACAGAATGTCTCCCCTAAACAGAGGAAGCAGAGTGTCTACACTGCGCCTGCCATGAAAGGTACTGTTCAGGTACTGTTTCTTCTTATGCAAACACCTCTTGGGTGTGGATGTCACCATCTCTCTCTCTCTCATTCCTGGAGTACTTTAATGATCACATGAAGGGAAAAGAGGCCTCTGTCTGTGATGATGTTCTTTGAAGATGGATTGAAAGGAAGTCTATGGAGATTCTCAATCATCCAGGTCATGTTTGCTCCAAAGGTGCTTTTCAAAACGCAACTTGGCTTTCTTGGGTTTTTTTTTCCCCCTTGTAAACATTCCACTTCTCATCCAAGAAGCTTCTTTAGTTCCGGCTGAATGGTGTGGAATGGAAGGATTCATATTTATGTTCCTTAATGGCCTTGTTGGGGCCACTTGGGGGTTTATCTATAGTCTCAGCTGGTCTCCACTGTTTTAAAAGATGGGTCAAAGAGGCCATCTGTATTAGAATGGAACAGTCCTCTCTCAGCAGAGGGGGAGGGATATGACACCACCTATCCCCTTTCAACACACTGTCCTTTCAGCAGTCCCAAGAAGGTTCCACACCTATTTGCACTCTGATTGAAGAGACCCTGAGAGATAAACATGCAACAGGCCTTAATGACTCTCAAGGAGCCAGCAACCAACCTTCAGAGTGCTAACGACCCGATGACTGCTAAGGAATATAAATCCTTCCAGTCCCCACCATTCAGCCAGAACTGAAGAAGCTTCTTGGATGAGAAGCAAAATGTTTTCAAGGGGAAAAAAAGCACCTTTGGGATTGAAAGGTTGGGAATTCAGAAAGGCTGCGACCTCAAACCCAGGTCATAATCCTTTCCCTGGTATTGTACAGGTGAAGGATGGGCTCCTCCCTCATTCATTTCCAAGCAATGATCTTATCTCTTTATTTATTTATTCAGCTTATAGGGCTGATCACTTGCCATGCAACTCTGGGTGGCTAACAATCCATTAACAACAATCATAAATCTTTTTTTATTTTTTAATTAAAACCACAGATCCCATCCAGGATGTTATAGAAACCATACATCACCAAAGATGGGCTCTGCAATCATCCTGGCCTATTGCATGGGGTGGGGGTGGGGGTGGGGGGGAGAACCAGGTCTTCATTGCCTTATAAAAGCCTAACAGAGTCAGGGCATCTGATTCAGGGTGGAGTTGGGAAGTTATTCTTCCTGAATCCTATTAGATGGAATTGTTTGATACAAGAGATCTGAGTTTTACCTGATCAGCTAGTTGAGCTAGTTGGTGAACTGGGAGATCTCCAAGATCCCTTCCAACTCTGTTATTCTATATTCTGTAATATTGAGTTGAACTTAATACAAAATATTAAATCAGCGTTAGCATACTGTACACACACTCTTATCTCATTCGTAGCCATAAAAAAAATGTTTTAAGCAGAAAGAACAAATGGTGCCATATCGTCTGGCCTAGGAAGCTATTGTAAGAAACTTAGCATATCCTTCAATCTGTTGAACAATTGATGAAACAACATAGCTAGTCTCTCTCTATATAGCATAGGAATGTTTTTTTTTTGTTTAATTATCTATGGCTGATTGATTGATTGATTGATTGCCTAATGGATGTGAGTTGTCCAAAATTATAGATCATTCTTTCCTGTATTGGAAATTACAATAAGGCATGAATAACATGCCAAAGTATCTCACAAGTTCATTGTTTCTCTCCTCTCGAGTCCTTTTGATGTATTTTGGTTTCCTATGCATTTTTTGCACGGTATCAGCAAATAACCTTTAAGTGGGAAATGGCTTACTCTTTTATGCACACGTGCATTTTACTGGAATACAGCCCCTGGAAAAATCAATGTGTGAGTGCTATTGATCGCAGAATGAGGTGGACAGCAGCCTACGGAGCTATTCAGGGCAGGATATTTGAGCAGATTGTATTTCTATGCTTAATGGATGTTGGGAGACACCTTCATTGTTCAAAAGGCCTCTACATTTTGGCTCTTCCTGACAGTGCTGATTGTCTCTTTCCAAAATGAGGTTAGCAGGGATATCTGACTGGCTTTCTGTTTTTAGCAGATTTTTCCCATGTCCTGGCCAAATAATTAACCTCTCTCGATACAAGCATACAATCTTCCTTTCAGCCTCCTATACATGTTGTACAGTATTGATATAATGATGCAAAGCTGGGGCGGGGGAATGTTCTAAAGGCATACGTTGATCATCTAGGCATGCTCACTGAATTTAGTACAGGAAACAATTTTAATTTGTCATAAGGGGCAAACACAATAGAATTCTGCTCTTCATTGATTCTTGTGACTAGTTTCAGTTCTTGGGCGGAAAGTCTTCTCTTATCAAGGAGCGCATGAAAATTAGACATCAAAGAAAAAATCAGAAAGAGAACTCTTCTTTTTCATAATGTGAGACACCTCTAATCATTTCCCAACATTCAGGCTGCTTCCCGCCCTCTGTTTATACATGTATGTATGTGTGTGATTTGGCATTATGTCAGAGGTGGGATTCACTTACCTTCCCTACCGGTTCACAAATGTGAGGGCTCACATGGGCCACCTCTGTGCATACGCACAGCCTTCTGTGCAAGCACAGTAGTTGCGCATTAAATCAGGGCAGGTGGGTGGAGCCTCCTGTAGTTGCCGCTACCGGTTCGCGTGATCGGGACAGAACCAGCTGAATCCCACCACTGCATTATCTGGTGTGGAATGTTGGAGAAAAATATAAAAATATATCTGGTAAGAACACCTTACAAGATTATAGAATTTCCTTAGATATAATCCAATCAGATGCCCATATGTAACATAATAAGTATTATATGTATGTCAAACCCAATATGTATTATTTCCATTAATTCCAAACCCAGAAGGAGGACAATACATAACCAATTTTGCCCTAATTCCCATAAGCCACTAAAGAAAAGAGAAAACAAATCCCTGGCTATATTTTCTATTATCTACTTCATAGTATTGTTGATATGGGGAAACATTGGAGAAGGGAGTGTTATAAATGTTCTTTTGAACTCTTGAATGAAAGGCAGAATAAGAACCTAATAAGACAAGAAGTAAAATAAAAATAGATTTATTAATTTAAAAGACACATTCAGGTAGTCTTGATTTAACAACCACAACTGGACTGGCAACTCCATCGCTAAGCAACAGTCATTAAGTGAAATATCACATGACTGCACCAGGTTTCTGATATCAGATTAAACGAATCACCTGCAGTTGTTCGGTGCAATGTCATGTGATCGCCATTTCCAATCTCCTGCTGCCTTCTCTGTTGACTTTGCTTGTCAGCAGCTGGCAGCTATGAAGATCACAAGTGGTGACCTTGTGACCAAGGGATGCTGTGATTGCTTGAATTGCAATCCTGAGACAGTTGTAAGTGATTCTGTGGCAGTTGTAAGTTCAAGGTCTAGTTGAAAAATGACTTTTTCAGTGCCATCAAAAGTTCAAACAGTCACTAAACAGGACAGTTATTAACCAAAGACTACCTTTATAGTCATCGATTTTATGTACCAAAATACAGGACAGGTCACAGAAGAACATAAGACTATAAACACTCTAAAAACCATGACAGAAACTCTTGGTGTCTCAATGGCAACATTTTCCCAAATGCCCACATTCAATGTACTGGGTTGCAGCATTATCCTACTCAAGACATTTTCAGGAAAAGCAAGGGATGCTTGGAGACTGGAGGAAATTGGTGAGATCCAAAGATGGCCTCTTGTGAAGGAGGCATACCATCATCTCCTTCAAGGCAGGTAGCACTCTGCTTCTCAGTGAGGGTTTACTCCTCACTTGAACCCAATTATCTCCTGGAAGACCTTAATCAACCAATGGGGTGGGGGCACAGGTCCAGAATACAAGTGGAAGAAATGTGCAACCTTGAAGACCTATCTACTAACTTGGGAGCAACCCAGGTACCAATGTACCTTCCTTAAGACCTACCCAGCTGGTGTCCAACTGTGAGCAAAGTCACTCAACTTTATCCAACAGAAGCCAAGAATATTCTAAGATGTCTTCTCAGAAGTAGAGTAAGTGAAAAAAATAGTATATTCTATACCTAGATAACATAGTAGGAGAAAATATTTTAAAATTCCCCATTATTATTATTTCCTCATATTTCCACAAGGACATGTTCCGTTATGATAAGATACCTGTTTTAAGTTCCCATATATAACTGCTGATATTTACCGAAAAATTGGCCAAGGGGATGATTTTTCAAAGGTGTAAAAAGTTGTGAAATTAGGCTACAAAAATGTGCTTGCTTCTATTTAACTATTGCTTTGATGGTTTGCTATGTTAAACTTTTTTTAAAAAATCCCCTTCTTCATATTTTCTGTGCATTTAGATCAGGGGTGAAATCTAAAATTTGTTACTACCGGTTCTGTGGGCATGGCTTGGTGGTGGGGGGGTAATGTGACTGATTGGGCGTGGCCACTTTTTTTTTTTTACTTTTAAAAGCATTTTTTCTACAGCCTTAAGAGGTTGCAGAAAAAAATGCTTTTAAAAGCCTCTGACGATCAGGCAACTCAGCTGGGATCGCCAGAGGCTTTTAAAGGCTTTTTTTTCTACAACCTCTTCAGCCGAAAAAATGCTTATTTCCCCCAAAATAAGACCTACCCGGAAAATTAGCCATAATGAGTCTTTTGGAGCAAAAATTAATATAAGACCCGGGGTTATTTTGGGGAAAACACGGGTAGCTCTTGTTATAATACTGAAAAAAGCAAAGGTGACTCTAGAAGTCACTGAAAATAGTGAAAAGGTGAAAAGGTGAAGTTTGTCCTCCTGCCTGAATAAAGGCCTCTGGATTAATCCTTTAAGAATTCTTTTATTATGAAAAATCTTCACTGTAGCTCAGTTTAGGCAGATGTGAGTTTCTCTTATGTGTGTGAGAGAGACGTCATACAGCGAAGCAGAAAGGACATAAATCACCTATAAATGAATCAAAGCCAATTCTGAGGCTATTATGGAGATAGCACAGCTGATAGTTTGGACAGCAACTAAAGTTTCCTCTCTACAAATGGACTAAAGCTTTACAAAACTGGGATGAAAT